TGTCAAGAAGCATTTGAGTCTTTGTGTTCTGCCTTGGATGGACAAGCCTTCCCGCTGTATGTGGAGTAGTAGCTAACAGTTTCCTGCTCACACACTTATTAACTTCAGAAAATGTAAATGTTCTAGTTTAGAAATAAATCTTTACCTACATCCTCCAAAAATACTTATCTTTAAGCGTTAGCATTTTCTTCATGGTAGATTAATTTCCAAAATATCAACCATGATTCATTACACTTTTTACATCTGGGTTTTTATTGTCACATTAATTTTTGAATATTTTATTCCAAATCATCATTAAGTTTTCTTATAGCAGCACTTGGTGGCCATTAGAGGAACTGCAACTTCAGGCACTTTGAACAGAGGACACGACAGAGGACATTGTATTTTGAAGGACTTCAGCAGACTTTTATTTGTGTGTTTATTTCTGTGAAAGTGCATGCTGCTGGAGCTCAGAGGGTCTAATTGACAGTCTCGGTGGAGGAGCTCACCACCTGCCCATCCACAACCTCCTCCACGACGGTGATGAATTTAGTTCTGGAGGTGGTGGTGGAGGTCAAGGCACTGCAGGAGAGAGACCAACAGTACAGTCAGGTCTTTATTCATAATATTACTATTTTTGAGCTGGTTATAATATTCAGAATCATCCTTTAGCTGCATAATTTGGTAAATGTGCCGAAAATATTTGTAGTTATAGAAAAACACAAAGAGTGAATTAAAGAATAGTATTTGTGCACTACGTTCATCAAGAGAGATGTTATATGAGGACTGAGGAAAGGAGAGTTTTGATGAAAATGCATTTAATTTACAAGTACAAACAAAACCAGAGCTAAACTTTGTCATTTCATTTTTTCTGCACATATCCTCTCCACACTCAAGTTTATCATGCTGAGGTTTGTTTTTTTTTTGTTTGTTTGTAACAAACAGAATCTGAGGGCAGGGTTCTTAATATTTGTTATAGTCTTATCTTCATGTCACAAATATTTCTGGCCTCTTGAGAACATTTTTGACGCTCTGATGATTTGTGAGTGTGGTGTCAGATCACAGCATCTACCCACAGTACATTTATCCTCCAGGTTTACCCTGTGAACAACCGTTTAATTTTCTCACCTGTTGCTGCTGCTGCTGCTGCTGCTAATGCTGCCTCCACCCTCTCCATCAAGCAGCCTCCTGTACTCAGCAATCTCCATCTCCAGCCTGGTCTTGATGTCCAGCAGCACCTGGTATTCCTGGGACTGTCTTTCCAGGTCGGCTCTCAGCTGCATCAACTGCTCCTCCAGCATGGTGACCTGATTCTGGTAACCCGCCAGCTGCATGGCGTACCGGTTCTGAGTTTCAGCCAGAGTGGCCTCCAACGACGCTTTCTGCAAGAGAGAGGAGCAGGAGCCGGTTCACTTTGTTTATTACCTCACAAAGAGACACTGTATGTGAAAGAGAAGATGTGATAAGATGGTCACCATGCTAAGCTGGGACTGCAGCTCAATCTCCAGGCCCTGCAGTGTTCGCTTGAGCTCTGTAATCTCTGATTTGGACGTCTGGATGGTTTGTGTGTCAGCAGCGACTTCTTGTTTCAGTGTTTCTGTCTGAAGAGAGGACACCAATCACAGCATGGTCATTACAGACTGTACATTTAGACAGAAATTCTCATTTAGTAATCCAGAGGCATCAGGTAACCCACTACATTTACACCAGTTTGATTTTCTACTGTTAATTCAATTCAGTTTCATTTATAAAGCCCAATATCACAAATCACAGTTTGCTTCAGAGGGCTTTACAGCATACGACATCCCTCTGTCCTTTGGACCCTCTCAGCGGATAAGGAAAAACACCCCCAAAAAAACCTTTAACGGGGAAAAAATGGTAGAAAGGTTGTACTATTTATTCCTCTACATTCATCTGACAGTTGTAGAGACACTCTGGAGTCCAGCATGTGTGTGGTCAGACTGAGACTCTTGAGCCGTATTAACAGCTCTGTGAGGCTGTGCTTAGACACAGTGCTACTTTGTGCTAAAAGCTAACATCAGAATACTAATTTACTCACAGAAATGCTAACATGCTAATGTATAAAAGGTATACCATGTTCGCCAATTTACGTCAGCATCAGCTGAGGCTGATGGGAGTGTTATTAGTTCTGCAGGTCTTGCTCATAAACCAAAATATTGGACACATTTAATTGTTGATCTGATGATAGCGCAAGAAGGAAAGTCAGAGGATCATCAAAGTTATCACATTTCATCCTGAGACAAACATAAGTGATGAACCACGTTTCATCACAATCCCTCCAACAGTTGTTGAGAAATTTCAGTCTGGACCAAAGTGGTGGATCAACAGGCTAGCATGGCTAAAACTTATGTACTTACCTTTTGCTGGAACCAAATCTCCAGCTCTTTTTTGCTTTTGGCAGCAATCCTTTCGTAGTGCTCCCTGGCCTCATCGATGATCTTTGCGAGGTCAACTGATGGAGCGGCGTCCACCTCCACGTTCACCTGGCCACTCATCTGAGCTCGCATCGCCAGCAGCTCCTGCAGACAAGGAGACAAGTGAAAAGCGAAGACATTTCCGTAAGGACATTTCTTGATTTAGTGACCATATGAATGTCAAATGTAAACCTGTTTTGTTCAACTCCATTGACTCATTGTATTCACCCCAACACCCAACCCGCCTAATGAGAGCTGAGAGCCCACTGACCTCCTCGTGGTTCTTCTTGAGGTAGATCAGCTCCTCCTTCAGGCCCTCGATCTGCATCTCCAGGTCGGTCCGGCTCAGAGTCAGCTCGTCCAGGACCCTCCTCAGCCCGGCGATGTCGGACTCTACCGATTGACGCATGGCCAGCTCGTTCTCATACCTGCACAGAGGACAAAACACTTGTTTCTAAATCTGTTTCTCCAAAAACAAAACTGGCTGAAGCAGGATGCAAATGGAGAGGGAAAATGTTAAACTTGAACTTTAACCTTTACTTATAGCTTCTTAATGCATGGATTCACTTACTTGACCCTGAAGTCATCAGCAGCAAGCTTGGCATTGTCAATGGCGAGGTAGATGCCACCGTTGACTTTGGTAGCGTCCTGGATCTGGGAGATTTAAAACAAGAATAATTGTACTATTTCATTGAAAATGCACCAGCACACTGCATGGAAATGTACTTTTGTTGCAGATTCAGGCAGGTGTTAAACTGTTTACTTTAATTCTGTTACTAAATGTATTGTTATATTAAGTGGCTCCTTGTGAAACAGAGCAAATTCCCAAATTTCTCCAATATCAACAGTGAAATAACACTGGAAGATATCTATATTGTTTTAAAGCTGATATTGACACCTAGAGTATGCTGTTTCAATAAATATTGCCATCTTTGCAAATTGAAATAAAACAAGGTTATAATCATAACTACAGTGCTGGCAGGGTTCATGCTTTAACCTCTCATTGGATGATAGAAACTGCCAGGTTACAGTGATGATGACAGGCAGTGCATGAACATAAACATCCTGTCGTTTTTGGATGGCCACATGCCTAATGTCACAGATGAGCCTACCTTTCCCTGCAGCTCTGCGATGGTGGCAAAGTAGGCGCTGTAGTCTCTGGCAGAAGGGGAGGTCTTTTGCTCCAGGAATTGCCTGATCTTCAGCTCCAGCTCAGCATTGGCTGCCTCGAGCTTGCGGACCTTCTCCAAGTAAGAAGCCAGGCGGTCGTTCAGGTTCTGCATGGTGGCCTTCTCGTTGGCAGAGATGTCGATGCAACCACCACCACCATCACCACCAGCACCACCAGCGCCAAAGCCAAACCCAGAACCACCTGAGCTACTGTAGCTGTAGCCATAGCTACTTCCACCACCTCCACCACCACTGCCAAACACGGAGCCACCACTGCCATACATGGAGCCACCACTGCCATACATGGAGCCACCAGAGGAGATTTTGACCATTGAGCCTCCAGCACCACCATGCATGGACCCCATGCTGCGCACACCACGAACTGCAAAGGATTGCATAATTTTGTGTGGTGATGAGGGTAAGGTAGGATGTCTATCTGCTTCAGCTGAAGAGGAGAAAGTAAAGAGCTCAGAGAGCAGCTGATTTTTTATACTGTATGCAGAGTTTCTGAGGAGGGGGTGGAGGAGGGAAGGATGGCAAGCTCGTGCCAACCCTGGGAGGAGACGCCTGTCCTTGTATAACTCAGCAGGTTGGTTGTGGGTGTGTCTGGGAAATGTATGATGAGACCTGTATGACTGGGAAAATAGCTGTATTTCAAAATAAAGTGTGTGTCTTACAAAATTGAAACATTTGCACATCACTTGCAGTCCATTTTCGATCCACGACCCACCAGGTGGGAACCACTGGTTTAGAAGACATAGGCTCGGTTATTAAAAAACGAAAAGGAAGAGGACTGAGGATTGATCCTTTTGGGACACTACACAAGATGTTTGCTTAATTCAGATGCACTGCACGCCAGCATTTCACATCAAAATGGTTGAAAGATTAGAGCACATGAAGCACTGCAGGGCGAGTTCAGACATGGATGAAATTTGGTTTTAAAATTTACTGCCAGCGTTAAAAGCCACATTAAATCAATCAGCAGCTGTAAAAGAGAAGCCTTCCTCAGAATGACTTCAATCTGTTATTACAGTTTTTATAAGTGCAGCATAGGGTAACTCTTGGCAGCAGGTTATTGTGTAGTGAAGCAGGAGCTCAATGGCTTAAAGAGTAATCCACTTGTTTGATCAGAAAAAGTTTTTGCCAGCTGCCTGATCTTAAGCATATAGAGCTGACAATAAGCAGACAATGATTATATTCTACTAAGATCAATAAAACAATTCAAGATAGAATTAAAACACAGATGCAAAGAGCCTTTTCACGTTCTGGAAATGTTCACCTTGTATGGAGGATTTATAAAAACCGCAGAGACATTATTCCACTTAAAGGTGCTGCACAGTATTTTAAATCATTACTGGATCTATTCAAGACGCCAAAATCATTTCTGTGAACAACCTTTGCTAATGAGCTGCTTTTTAAAAAGAGAAAGATGTTTGGCACATTAGGTGATAAACTGCCAAGCTGTCCAGGTGCATCCTGCCACTTACCCAGGGCATGCTAGGATAGTCTCCAGCCTCCCAAAATCCTGGACAGGATAATCAGTCAGGGGGGGCTGAACATACACATCTGGACTTCCCTCATTCGTTTTAGTTTGCAGACTGCTGGGAAGCTGCAAGGCAGAGCGCTGTCTGAAAACATAACTATAATTCATAGCAATATGGATGCGGCAATGTAAACATACATATATACATACATATATATTCAGATCTTGTCAAAAGTCTTGTTCTACAAAAAAGAACAACAATAATCATTTAAAATGTCTTTGGGGTATTTTATTAAAGACACATTCTCACTCCTAACTCATCAAATACTGATGCTTGGTGAGGGGTCCTAAAACTCAAGGCCACCACAGATAAGAACACACTGCTTGACCTCATTTTCATCTCTCAGCCACAGCACTGTCTCCACTCTGGTGTGATGACACCCTACCACGGTTATCACAATCCGGTTTAGTGTGTCATGTCCACCAGCGGTCCATAGAGATGTCAGAGTGAGTTTTAAAGATAAAGAAATATGCAAAGGACTTATGACTAAACAAATATTTTTAGTGCATGGATTAAGAAAATATTTTTTTAAACTTTGTGTGCCAAAAGTATAGCAGAACCATAGCATAGAACATTTATAAGCATTTATTAACGAGATTATGGCAGATAAGGTTAGGGAGCGATTAAGGAACGAGGGCAACCAAGGTCCCCAGCTAATGGTTGGCATAACCTGCTGCAAGCCACCAACCATGGATGTATAAAGAGAACAGGATACGTCGCTGGAGGCAAAAGTTGCTCGGTGATCAACACATTCTCACTCCTAACTCGTCAAATACTGATGCTTGGTGAGGGGCCCTAAAACTGAAACTATGACACTCTGGGCAGGGCTGTAAATATAGACAGTGCAGGCAGTGTGGTTGCACTGGGGCCCATGAGGTAGGGGGGCCCATAGAGAGAGTCGCTGGAGGGCCTGCTCTCTCTAGAACAGAGAACAGGTCCCTGCAAGTGATTCAACTTGCCACCTCAGAAATGCATCTGTGTTCGAAGGAGAGCACATGTTAAAATACAAATGCTGTCATCTGCTATATGCCCTTGAAAAGGCAAATGCTTCTCCATCAATTCCTTTTTTATTCTTTTGTGAAATAATCAGAAGCAATTTATAACAAAATGATATGTTCATTTATGTTGTTGTTTGGGTTAATCTGCTGATCATTTCTCCATTGACTTTTTGGTTTGTAGAGATAGTGAAAATAGCGAGAAATGGTGTCACAACTACCCTGATCCTAACAATTATTAAATAATAAAAGCAAAAGCAGCAAAAATTCTCACATTTGTGAAGCTGGAACCATGAAATGTTTCACATTAAAGAATGACTGAAGTGATTATCAGTCCAGTGGCTAATTTAATTCAGTCATTTCATTGACTAACAAATAGTTCCAGTTGTACTTGTAGGTTTTCATATGTTTTGTGTGCAAAAACCTAATTTGTAAAGTAGCTAGTAACTAAAGCTGCCAGATAAATGTAGTGGAGTAGAAATAGAAAGTGGCATTAGAAGAAAAGACTCTGTACTTAGAATACCTGAGTAAATGTATTTAGTTACATTCCAATACTGAGTGCAGCTCATCTTATTTGAACTTTATGAGATTGTGAGTATGACTCAACTTGTGACTTGCTTGACCTGAGCGATGATTTGACTCGACTTGACTTGCTCGATTTTCACCACAGTGAATTTGGACTTGCTTGAGACTTGAAGGTTAAGACTTGAGACTTGCTTGATACATGTGTGACACACTTCCACCTCTGTCTCTTAGCTGATGTTCAACTATTGTTGACTTTTCCTCATTACCGTCGGTTTAGCTTACACCAACAACACACCAAGCAGCGGGGAATGATTGCATTTTTTCCACAGCCAGGAGGCATGTTCATGTGTTTCAGGTGGGAAGAAATTCTTTGTAACATAGGTCAGCATGTCACAGGACTCACAGACCTCTGCTGACTGTAGGCTGGGAGTATTCTCTGACTGCAGTTTGCTGATAAAAGTTTAAGTATCCCCAACTTTTAGGTTGGTTGCAGAATCAAATGGCTGCAGCTCGAAGCAGCCGTCGCAGCTTTCCAGAGACACTGCATGGCAGCTCGCCACAGGCCACACTTCACAGCTGTTTTTTTTCTCCAACATTAATACTCTGTTTGCTGATGTACGGTTATCGCTAAGTTTGCCCCATTACCATTATGTTTGCTCAGCTCTCGCTTTGATAGTGTCTGATCATTGCTTAGGCCTACTTTGCCCCATCGACATTAGTTTAGTGCTTTAAAGGAGCACTTCAACCACAAAATGACCATTTGTATATCAGTTACTCAACCTGTGTTACATTGAATTTATGAAGAAAAAATTTCCTTGCATGCCTCCCTACTGAACAAAGAATCAAAAACTGACAAATTCTTGATGAACTGGAGTAAAAGGGGGATGTGTTAATGACAACAGCTAAACTAGATCAAAACATCTATTTACAAACCCGCACGCAGCTCGTGCAGTATAATCAAGTCTCATTTATCCAGTGTTATACTCAGTATGTCCCAAACACTTGCATTTTTTCGAAACACCTGCTATGTAAAACATTACCTCATAAACATTTCCCTGGACAAGCGCGTGCATCTGAATTCTGCTTGTGTACATGAATTTATAATCTGTTCAATGGAATGCACAAGCAGAGTTCTACTCGTATGTGTTTAAATAGACAGGTTTTAGCAAAAATGCGTGTGTTTGGGGAAGTGCTGAGCATATGGTAGGATTAAGATTAACCTGTGTTAGTTGTGTGAGAGTTTGTAAATGGGTGTTTTTATATAGTTTGCTGGGTTGTTAACACAGCCTTCTTTTACCCCAGTTCATCAAAAATTACTCAATATTTGGATTCTCTGTTCAACATTGAGGCATGAGAGAAAAATGTTTTCTTCATAAACTCAATTAACACAGGATTACTTGATATACAAATGGTTGTTTTGGGGGTGAAGTATTCTGTTAAATACTTCTAAGCACTTTTAGGACTTAGGACTGGTTTATGATGGTTTAAAGCTGCTGGTGAACATTGTGAAGGGCTCAAAGCCTCGTAACAAGCCAGGAGCCTGTGTTAGGGGGTTTGGGGGGTTGGGGGTATCATGGAGATGCATCTGATAAAATGAGGACAAAAAAAACTTCTTAACAGCAAAAAAGTGAGTGAGTTTTTTGTGTTTATTTGGGAAAACATAACAAATACTTTGCAAAGTTTTTCTTCTTTTGACCTTGGTGAAAGGTTAATTTCATTACAATCATTAATGCATAAATGTCATAATAATGTGTTTTAATGTAATGAAAGTGATTACATGAGAGGCACAGCGTGGAGCAGATACATCAATAAGTTAATTGTGTACATATAATTGCATCTTGGAGCAATATCAGTGATTTAGTTTCAATGATTTAACTGTTTTTTGTGCAGTTTGGGTGTGTCTGTGTGGTACTGCTGCAGGCTTGTTCCCATCATGTGCAGCTGCTGCTCTCAGGCTGCAGGGGAAACTGACAGGTATGTACAACACCCACTCGCTTTGCATTTAACTGGAATTTAGACAATGTGCAGCAATTAAGAGGTGTGTAAACTTTTTATTATTTGGCTTTGAAAGGAAGGGAAATTGTGCTTCAAAGGACAAACTTAAAGAACATGTCTTAACTGTGACAGGAATCAGTGTGCAGCTCTGTTTCAAATGAGGAGCAGTCGAAAGGTGAAAAAGATCAAATAAAAGTATAAGAGATACAATAACAATATGATGCATGGTTCCATTTCCACCTGACAAAGCAAAGTGCAAAAAGTGGTGCAAAATATACATGATGGCCATCAATATGTAGTTGGGTTCCTGGTTCAATCCCAGGAGTGAGCCTTTCTGTGTGGAATTTGCATGTTCTCCCCGTGTCAGCGTGGGTTTTCTCCAGGTTCTCTAGCTTCCTCCCACGATCCAAAAACATGCAGGTTAGGTTAACTGGTGACTCTAAATTGTCCGTAGGTGTGAATGTGAGCATGAATGGTTGTCTGTCTCTGTGTGATAGCCCTGCGATAGTCTGGTGACCTGTCCAGGGTGTACCCTGCCTCTCGCCCAATGTCAGCTGGGATAGGCTGCAGCCCCCCCGTGACCCTCAAGAGGATAAGCGGTTATGAAAATGGATGAATGGAACAATAAACTAGTAGGTGCAGTAGGAGCAGTGTGACTAAGCTGAGACAGCTTAAACACCTGAGCATCAAATGCTGCAGTTCAGAGTGCATGAAACTAGTTAGCAAGCAGGCAGAAAAGTTAAGATAAAACAAGCAGAGATGTTGAAGATATATATATATATATATATATATGTATATACATATATGTATAGTGTTTTCGTTACCTTAAAAAGCCATCTATTTCTACATGAGGAGCAGGTCCTCATCTATGGTGATTGTCACATTGAACCGTTTTGTTTCTACAGTAGTCCAGAATGGACAAACCGCACACTGGTTCCAGATAGGGCAATTTGTGTTCTTGCATTTTTGCTTCGGCCACTATAGTTAGCAGACCCGCCACAATGAGAGCATTGGAAAAACACTGATATTTTTCATTTGAAACTGCTTTATTCAGTATTTTTAGAGGTTTAAATCACCAGGTCCATTTGTTTTAGAGAGGAAGAGACCACTGCAGATTTTCCGGCTCCCAAAACCTCCTTGACAAATGGATCTTAAGACATCAGAGAAAAAAGGTAAGCAAACATTAGCAGGAAGAGATGCTAGCGGCCCATCTCTGATATGCTAAATAGCATCAGATAAATACAAGCCCCTTTTACACTGCCTCTTCAAGGTAGGAATAGAATATCATGTCATTCTGCCTCGCTGTTCTGTATAAAAGGTACAATCGCAGAATGGGGGGGGGGGACTGTCGCCTTGAAGACAGTATCTGAGGTAATAACAGGACAGATATGATATCTGTATATAAGGGGCACCTGGCATGAATGGCACAGGAGTGATGTTTTGACAACGTGTAATACATGCGACCCAAAACAAGACATTTAAAAAGTGGCTGAGAGCGGTTATCAGCTAACTCAAAAAAGAAGAACAGCAGCCGGAAATGTCCTCAAATTGGGAATCCAATGAGGTCCAAGAGCTCCTTGCCCTCTGAGCAAAGGACCAGATCAGCCACTGTATAAGAGGAAAGGTAAATGATTTTGAATCCAAAGAGGCACACTGGAGTGGCATGATGCTGCCATTGTTTGGTTCTGTGTAAAAATGCAATTCCACACAAAGAAGGGATTGCGTAGGGGCCCATTTGGGCAATCTCTGTGTAAAAAGGGCTACAAATTTAGAACATTAAACTGCCTTATTCAATGTTTAATCACCTGGTCTGTTTGTTTGTTTGTTTGTTTGTTTGTTAAAAAAAACCTGAACAATGAACACTGAAGGAAATAAGGAATTGTAACTGGCAGATATTTCAGCTGGTTTCAATGTGCAATCATTACCACTAGATCCCCCTAAATTTCACACACTGCTCCTTTAAAGTTTTTTTTTTTTCTTTTTTTTGTGGTGGTGGTGGGAGGGGACTGCATTATCTAATCTATTATCTGTATAGAAATATGTGACTTGACTTGTAATAGTATGAATGTAGCCTCGACCAAACCTTTGAAGTCTATTTTTCACTTGAATTTATTGACAGTTCAGTTGTTTCAGCTGCTTAAATGTTTGGAGGCACAGTGTTGAATAAAACGAGCTGCTTTGAAGGATCATGTGAGGTAAAGAGTTGTAGTTTTAGGCAGTTTTAGCTGCTCAGCTGCAGGACAGACTGAGGACTTGATGTTGTTACTGTGCAGCAGCATTACACACAGCAGTGTTATTAGCATTTGCTGTGGTTATTTTGTAGTATCCCAAAAAAGTACCAGGTACTATCCACAACTTTTGCTCAAAGAAAACCGAAAAAGAGCAAGTTGAGTAGAGCTGTGCCGTACTATGCAGTGGAAATGTGGCATAAGCACTCATTGCACAGCCCAGCAAAGGACTTGAGATCAAAGATCTTATAATCACATTTTATTATTTAGACTCAGCTTATTCTGCAGGAGTTTCAGCTGAGGAACTTTGAGTGGTGTTTCTGATGTCATAAGTCATTTACACAAAATGTCTGATGATACAGCATATTGTGTTCCATGCAGTTTCTAAAAGACCTTGAGAACATCCCTATCCCCAGTCCTGCAGAAGGTTTGGATGGACTTATTTTCAAAAATGCATTTGAAAACTCACAGCAATGTGGAGTTCTGCAGAACTGTCCCTGTGAGGTGACAGTTGGGACACATCATGCTCACACTCAGATCAACATGCTCATAAAATATTTAAACCCACAAATTGTGTGTGAACAAACACACAGTACCAAGAGGTTGGCATCTCTGTTCAATGACTAACAGCTACTGTCCCCCCCCCCCCCCCCCCCCCCCCCCCCCCCCCCCCCCCCCCCCCCCCCCCCCCCCCCCCCCCCCCNCCACACACACACACACACACACACACACACACACACACATACACATTAACAACCTTCCTCTCCCCCGCCTAGGGGAACCCTGCCCACACCACTCAACCTGCTCCAGAACCTCCCCACCCCATCTGCCTTTGCCAGAGTCCTCCTGCCTGCGGCCCCAAGCTTACATAACAGCTGTAACCTGAGAGGGCGGGCTCATTGCCTGCAGGTACACATAGGTGTGTCTCTCTAACGCAACTTTAACAACCTGCAAACCTAAAAGAGAAGTAAATGAAAAGGAATGAAATAAAAAGCTCCTTTTCTTGTTTCATTTATGCTGTGATTATTTCATTCTAAAATTTAAACTTGTTACTTATATGTGTTATTAGTATGGTTTATTGAAAGTAACCAGTTTGTTTATGTATTGTGGATTTATATAAAGAATAGAAGTTTTATTGCACATTTAAACTGAGAGAAAATTATATCCACTGTTTAAGCACTCTCGATATCACATCATGTGAAGTGCAATATGGCAACTACAGTATAAGTAGGTATATCCAGTTTTATTGTATGTATCCTGTGTTCTTCTTCTGTGCATTCCTCCAAGAAAACCTGGGGACTTTATACATATTTATGACTTCTGTATCTCACACTGTTGTATCTCATTTTTACAAGAAAGATATAAGAATCACCTCCTGGTTATAAGGTAGTTTCCTCTTAATTGTGAGATACATATTACGAGATATAGAAGCTGGAATTGGAATAGCATGGCTATATGGTTTATTACATATGTGCTGTAGATTTTGTTAAATAAAACCAAACTTTGCTAATGTGGATGCTGCTTCTGTTTGTTGCTTCACTCCAGTCTCAATTAAATGTCTCTAAGACAAAAGAACTGGTCTTCAACTCCCCAACAGGTCAACTTCCAAGCCCACACACAACCCTGTCAGCATCAATGGTGAAGCAGTCAAGATGGTGGAGAGTCACAAATATCTTGGTATCACCCTGGATAATGGGACTATGTGTATATGCCGGGTTGGCACTCAAGATGTATGGAAGCATGAAGAAAATTTTAGGACAAATAAACTAATCTAATCTAATCTTAATAATTATTATTTTTCCAAATCCAGATATTTTTGTGTTTAAACACTGAGTTTCTCCTTCTCCAATTTTTAATTGCCAAGAGAAGAAGTGACAGAATGAAAGCAGAGTCTGGAAAAAGTCTGCAAGTAAAGTTTATGTATATATATGTGAACAGCAAAGAAATAGCTGCTGGTGGTGTTAGTGGTGGTGGCTGTGGTGTGTAGGTTTACATAGAAAACAACACAAATGGTTGTTTGATACTTGTCATCAACTTAAGATTGTAAACACAGCCGATGTCTGCCATATGCAGCCTCACTTGTGCCAGCAAACTTTCAAAGAATCATCAGAGCCTGCCTGAGAACGATCACCTTTTTTAAGTTTTTCCCAGTGGCCACTCACGATATTGCACCAAAAAAAAATCTGCAACCCAAAAGGCCTTTTCTTCATTGACCACCATTGTAAAAGAGAAGTCAATAAAACTTTTGACAAGACAACTCAAACTAAAAACAAGGTCAAATATGACTCTTTCTACTGGAAATGTTTGATCTGTGGCAGTTTAAAATTTGTATAACTTTCCCAATTTAAAAATAAGTGTAATCGCCACAATGTAAAGTCTATGGGCTGAGCAGGAACACGCAGGCAGGGCCACAGTACTCTTATGCATTTTCAGTGGGTTGCATATCGTGGAAGCAATCACGCTGGCTTGAAACGTTTTGGTGTAGGAGCCACTGGAGTAGTTCCATTGGACTAAATTGGCATCATCTTAGGGTCTGGTATCTACTTGTCTTGAAGTCAGTGGGGTTTTTTTTAATGGGTTTTTTGTTAGATGCCTGAAATAAGGTCTGTGGTTAATGCAAGCTTAAGCTTGTCCTTGTACTATGTAGCTTCTACAACATAAAATACATTAGTAAATTCCCCACTTGTTAATTTTGAAGCTTTATGAAGTTATTATATCTAAGGTTCAGGAACAAGACCAAGCTTCTCTCTCCCACTAATTCAAATCACCTGCACCTCGCTAATTCAACCACCTGTGCCTCATCAATTAAATCACCTGCTGTAACCTATATAGGTGTCTAACCTTAACTGCTAGCACCGTCACCTCATAACAAGATGTTCCTTTATATGTACCCCGGAGGGATTATGCAGCATGGAGCTCAACCCCCTCTCAACCCCCGCATTCATAAATGCTTCAGCCTCACCACGACTCCATCCGACCCCATCCTCCACAAATTCAACCTCCTTTCATCCCCCTCCTATGTTTCCCGGGTTCTATGTTTCCCGGGTTCTATGTTTCCCGGGTTCTATGTTCCCCACTTACACAAAAAGGGTTCTATGTTTCCTGGATTCTTTTAGTAAGCGGGAAACATAGAACCCTTTTTGGTTGAGCGGGGAACATAGAACCTTTTTGGGTGGCAAGTGGGGAACATAGAACCCAGTAAACATAGGGATGACCCCACCCCCATCACCCCATCATACATGACCCTGACCAATCTTCAGGTCCCATTCATCCCCTCAATCCCCATCATCCCTGATCCTCCAGTCATCCAATTTAACTACTTTTATACTGTACATATGGCATGGTCTTTGTTAGTGAATATGTGTTTTTATAAGGTGGCTAACAAGTGGCCAAATGAAACTACAGAACGTCATCACGCTAAACACAAATTTACAGCCAAAACATGCAGGTAACATAAACGTTTGTTGCACAGAGCTTATTTTTTGTAATAATCCTAAATCCAATGGAAAAATCCCATAGGCTTTTTGACAAAGTAACTAATGCAACACTAACCTTCATGTTAGCCTACAGAAAAACAATTCCTGGAGCACTAGACCACCATGTTAAAAAGCACAGCCTGGTACAAAAAAAATGTTTTTGGTCTCTACAGTTAACTTCCCCCTTCAAGACAACTATATGGGTGTGAATTGTTATATAACTCACCCATTTAGAGTGACAGGCTGTCTGCCGATAGTGCCCTCGGTTTCTCAGTCAGATCTACCCCTCGCTCCTCCACAGCTCCAGCTTCTCGCCCAAATATGGTCACTACTTGCTCCAAAAAAAAAAAAAAACAGCCAAAATGCCAACCTTGAGAATTCAAAACAGGATCCCACAAACCAAAGGGTGACGTCACTGCAGCTATGTCCATTATTTTTACAATTTATGACTAAAAATGGGTCTGTGAAAAGAACAGCAGTGCCTACCTGCAGCGGACATTAGACATCAGATTAAAAACAACATTTGGGACTTCCTCAGAGATCCATTTTAGAATATAAAGACGACGCTCCGGACACATTTAGATGACAGGAGGGGCAGCCAGTTTGCAGAGAATTATGAATGTAATTACTGGGGAGGACCACTGGTTTAGTTTTAATGCTGGACCATGTACAGGCTGTGTCTTGATATGAGATTGTGTCTTGTTTTACTACTTTTACAGCATGCACAGAGATGCAGGACATAAGTTAAGAGGAGTCCTCATCAACATTATGTTAGCGGTTAAGGGGATCATTATGGAGAGCCCCCACCAACTCAATGGTGTTTGAGCTGCAGGTCTGAGCTCAACAGGTATGTGCCTGCAGGTGATGGAGGAGTTTAAAGGTCATATATAATCAGCATACTGAATGGAGATAATGTCAACACACAGGCACTCCCCTTAAACCTGAGGAAAGTTTTATTCATGCATGGAAACTAGTCACTTTTGGCAACATTCACGGTTTTTAATTTAAAATATGTGAATGTGTGAAAAATGTTTTTTTCTCACTGTAATCTAATTTCCAAACCTGCATTTTAGTTACTAAAGCGTAAAGAAAATGCAGTCTTTAAAGAGAACATGTAACAATAATTAACCATAGCTGTAACACTGGTTTTCATGTGTGTAAAGCACTTACAGTCAGGTAAAGATCAGAAGTTGTTATATTTATTCCTGCTGAAAAAATCCTGAATTATCAACTGACTAATAGAACAAGTTTAATTATTATTATATTAATTTCTGCCATTGTACATTTCTTAAGCATAAATCATGTTTTCTCTTATGCAGAAAAAAAATCCAAGAGTTAAACCATATTTGCACTGTAAATGGGGATATAAAATATACATCTAACAACAATACTCACATTGTTGTAGTTGGAAAGATATGAAACTTGGGCACAAAAAAAGCAGAGACACTTTCCACCTGCATGCTGCTGTATCTACACATGTACACACTAAACTGCATATCCAGTGTGGACTGGTGGACAGTATACATGCTGAGCAGGGTGTGGTCTCTGCATGTGGGTAGTGTAATGTGGGTGAAAGTGTGCAGAGAAAAAGTGTGATGTGGGTGTGCTGCAGCAATGCAAAGTCCAGGTCACAGTTATTGTAGATGTATGGGGGGCCATAGGGGGCCGGTTGTTCATTCAGCAGCCTGACATCATGGGGGTAGAGGCTGTGGGCTAGTCTGGTGGTTCTGGCACAGATGGACCTATATCTCCTCCCAGAGGGCAGTAGATGGAACAATTGATGTGCTGGGTCAGGGTGTGACTGGTCCAGAATGATGTTGCGCACTCGGATGTGTAGACAGTGGTGATCTCTGGGAGGCAAGTCCCAACTATTCTCCCTGCTGATCTCACCACTTTTTGAAAAACCTGCTGTTCTGCCTTAGTGCAGCTGGAAAACCACATTAACAGTCCACAAGTAAGCACACTTCCTACAGCACAGTGATAAAAGTTCACCATAAGCTTCTGGGGAAGCTTTGCTCTTTTTAGCTTCCTCAGATAGAAGAGGTGTTGCTTGGCCTTCCCTATGGCAGAAGTGATGTGTTTGCCCCACGACAGATCCTCTGTCACAGTCAGACCCAGGAATTTAAAACTTGAGAGCCTCTCCACCTCCTCATTACCAATGAAGAGTGGAAAGTGGCTGAGCTGTCCAGTTTTGCGTAATTCCACTATTATTCCCTTTGTCTTTTTTATGTTAGGAACCAGGTTGTGATTATTGCACCTTGCTGCTAGTTGATCAACCTCCCTCCTGTATGCATCCTCATCACTGTGAGTAATGAGGCCAAGCACTGTTGTGCCGTCAGCGAATTTAATTATGTAATTTGATGGAAAGGAGGGAGAGCAGTCATGTGTGAAGAGTGTAAAGAGAAGTGGACTGAGCACACACCCTTGGGGGGCCCCGGTGTTAATTGATAAAGTGGATGAAATGTGCCTGCCAACTCTGACTGACTTACTTACTTAAAGGGATGATTCAGATATCCTGAAGTGGCACTGTATGATGTATTTATCCATAGTCAGTGCATTACCTACAGTAAATGCCTGTCAGTCCACCCAAAGTTTGGAGAAAGGGCAGGAGCTTCAGCTTCAGTTCCACATCTATGCTGTTGTCAAAGCCACCAGACTCCATTGACAAAAACAGTAACTTTGGCTGGCTGAACAAAGGAGCTGCTGATCAACAGCTCCTTCAATCAGTTTTTTCATTTGTGTTATTGTGTGACATCGGTGAATTCAAACTGACCCTTTTCAACGCCAAAGTCACAAAATAACACAAACAAAATAACTGCTGGAGCTAGTGGTAGACCAGCAGCTGCTGTATTCAGCAAATTTAAATTAATAAATGGTCTGAATCAAAGCAATATAACAGCTTCAATTCCCCATCAGAAATGTTGTCTGGTGGAAAGGTAAAGCAGTGAAAAAACTCTCAATATAGCGTATGCTTAAAGTGATATTGATTGTTTTAGGTGAAGGGTGTCCATCAGCATCATCAATAATGTTTGGCCTTTTTGCATACAGCACTGTCAAATATATTGCTGAGTTGTTTATGTGACTTGCCAATCATCTTCCCTGCAATGTTAACAATCTTGGAGAGCTTGTTTTTGCTCCTTGCACTGAAGTTGCCATACCATGCTTGAAAGTTAAATGATAAAATGCCTTCAACCAGGTTTCTGTATGCTATTTCAAGTATGGATGTGCTGGCTAACACCAAAGCTCTTCAGCTTCCTGGTTAAAAGCAGGCGCTGACTGGCTCTTTTAATATGCTCTCCCTTTATTCTGGTATTCCTAGCAGAAAATATCTGTCCATGAAAACACATTAGCTCTGCCTGCGTAGTTCTGGTGCATGTCTACAAACTGTATGATAGTCTTGCCATATTTTAAAACACAAGCCGAGGGCCATTTAAAATAGGTCTGCAGGCCACAATTGGCCCCGAGCCAGACTTTGGACATAACTGCTTTAGGTGAGACTTTTTTTGGATGGCTAAAATATGTTTTATTGCAGACCCCATCCATAGCAGTATATTGCTTAGCCTCTGTGACAGTAGTCCCAACCAGGTCTCACTCAGAAGCCATTGAAATTTGGTGCTGGGGCAGTGACTTGCAGCATCATACACTGACAAAAAAAAAGTCGTCCTTTAACGTTGGCAGGATACACAGCCGTTTGCCATTCTAGTTTAATGGCACTCCATGGCATCAGGGGGAAACGCAGCAGGACAAGAACGAAAGTTAGGGTGGCAAAAGTCCATGTAGGGTGGGCAGGTGTCCCAAAACGTCAACAAGCAACGCACCCAGGTTACCTTGCACGTCGTATCTGCACATGGATAGTCCATGACCAAACGTCAGTATGTGACAATGTCAGAGTGAGAATGTGTTGGTAGTCCTGCCCACTTTTTCAAACTGGGGGCACGTTGACTGCTATCTACTGTAAGTATTACATTGACTATGGATAAGTTCTTTATGCAACCCCATTTCAAAACATCTGAACTATCCCTTTAAATTGAAAGTGCTTATTAGGCAGCTGACAGTATGACATAGTAGATTATTATTACATATTGCATTACTGTGTTAGCAGCATTTGGTGTTGTGGCTGGTTGAAATTAGGGTCATCTTCATTGCTTTTTATACTGTTGGATAGTTTAATATAATGCATCATATTTTAATAATAATAATAATAAATTACATTTATATAGCACACTTTCAAGTCAAATGACTTCTCAAGATATATGTAGAACTTCGGTGCTGGGTGTCACCAGGACCATTTTTTGGCACAACGACACACACAGACTGACAAGGTGAAAACAATACCAGCCATTGTGACATTGTCACAGCTGGTAATTACAGTACAGCAGCAGGTTTCTGTTGAGGTTCCTCAGAATAGGTAACAATCTTGAAAAAATGACAGAAAAAAATACAACCTGACTTGTATAATAAAGAGGGTGACTCTGCCTCCTCCCCTTCAGGGTGTGACAGCGCCTGGATTCTTTCCTTGAATAACCTCTGCGCTCTGTTCTCATAAATCTTCTCTCTTTATCCCTTCCATCGGTCTATCAATCATTCACTTAACTGTCACTGCTTGTCAAACACTCCTTCAGCACTTCACATGGAAACCGATACTCCATCTGTGAAGTAAAGTTTCTTTTTATTCAGTTGTTTCTTTTATAACATCACTTTGATGCAGCTTTGCAGATACATAAATGCATTTAAACAGCATAATCCCTTAAGTTTTGTTGTGACACACATCGGTATTTCAAACTTAAAATATTCATGTTTTCACACAATTAACATTAAACCAGTGAAATTAAAATGAAGCTGAAGAAAACTAAAGAATACGTCTGAGAACTGGACTACATGCATGTTTCTGTCCTGCTGCAGGATGCTTTCACAGTCGACTGTCGACCTCGATCAGATAAACTGTGTTTTGTTCCAACATGCCCACTCCTCTGTTTCAGACCTCCAGCTCCAACTTTTTACCATAAAGGGAAATGTCAACATGAGGCTCACCTATGGCTACTTTCCACTGGCCTCAGGCAGAGTGCAGGTCTGAGTTTGATTCCTGTCAGTCATGGTGGTCGATAAAGTGGCCTTTTTTTTTACAATTAAAAATTTAAACTAGACAAAACTAAAGCTTCTAAAGGACTTGTTTGTGCCAAAACAGTTTCAGAATGTGAGTCTTTGGAACTTTTGAAATGTCCTCTGAGGTCCTTCAGTGCCTTAATGGTATGCAGTCTACCAGGTGTCTCATTCTCGTGTCAGTCAGAATCACTGGCAGATTTACGCTGACTGAATTATGAGTTACATGAGTTTCTATTCCTTACTATAATTATCATACATTCTGGTTTTCACCTCATTTGCAGCTTATTTGTTATCTAGTTTTTATATCTTGCACCTTACTGTTATGTTATTTTAGTCTTTCTGTGTATTGCACTCTTGAATTTGCACACTTCCATATTGCAACTGCTGCACAGCAGTTTCCTCTGCGATAATAAAGTTCTATCTTATCTTCAGAGCCAATGTTTGCTTTGAACTAAAAAAGCTCTACAGTTGTGTACTTTGCTGCATTTCAGGGAGGTGGGCACACAGAGCATGGGACTGTGAAACCTGAGTCAGGTCCTGTATGTGGTTTAGACGATGGTGGTGCAATGACTAGGATAAGCAGCACTACAACAGTTTGGTATTTCCGTCTGGTCCTAACCAGTGGAGCTCTGGAGGGAAACAAGCATGTATATCCCAGGCGAACACCAGCTGTGTTCTTGAAACAGATCAACTTGGTCCCAACAGTCTTTACAAGTGAGATGCATAATCAGAGATACAGTCCTAATGTGTATCCTCAACATAGACCGTATAAAAAAAAATGGATGACATGACAACTTCCCAAAAGTGAAGCCAAAACATCTCGATAGTCCTCTGGTGACCAGCTGCAGTATAGCTCATAAACCCTTCTTCCTCCATGCTAGTGGATGGTATATGGGCCAAACTAAAAACTCATAGTACATATCAATTACATTTTTCCCAAAGATGGATTCTGTCATTTGAGGTAGTTTTTATCACACTGTTGTATGTTCATGTGTTTGTTTTTCTGACAGGTTTTGTTTTAACTATAAAAATAAGGCTTCTTGTCATGATTGACAGTTGTGTGAGCCAGTTGGTGCCACAATCAGTTGTGCTGCTTGCGATTGGTCTGACAGGTGTTAGGGCAGGAACTTGACATTAACGGAGGTCGCCACTGCGCAGGCTCCAAATGACATCATCAGTGCAAGATGGCAGTGGCCGTATTTGGGATATTTTGGCTTCATTTATGTACAGTGGGGGTAAGTGGAAAGAAGCAGTGTGGAAGATTTTGACGGGATATAGTGGCACCTGGTGGTGAGGATTGCAGATTACATCCAGCTGAATCTTCTCCCGGTTTGAATTCCTTTAGTCCTGATTGTTAAGGAGGTTTTTACTAG